TTAAAAATTAAGCATCGCAGTATTTTACATAATCAAATTACATAATCATTGAGCTTAATTTAAACAAGGCCCAATTTTTCTGTAATTCAAAACCCTACTGTAATTCTGATTACATCTAATGTAATCCTTCAGATGACTTTGAGTTTTTGAGGTGAAAAGAAAAAAAAAATCAACCAAACCAAAACAAAACAGCATTGACCTGAAATCTGTGATCAAATGAAGAGGAAAACGAAATCAATGATTGCACAATTTCTATGCTTTTTCTCATTAAATCGTATTTGTTTTCTATAACACTGCAGTCTTTGCACGTTTATTCAGCTTCAGAATAATGTCGCAGGTCTGGCAAAAAAAAAAAAAAAATTAAAAATGCTCATCTTGTGCGCTATTTGGCGTTATAGTTATGCATTTTATCAGTTCGTCTTAGGCTAGTTAAAATTCTCCTTTAGCTGTTTTTAGTACAGTGTTGATGTGGAGAGAGATCCGGGAAGGTGCTCAGACAGCCAACGAATGGCCCAAAATTGAAATACATCGCATTAATTGAATAGTTCCATAAGAATAAATATAAAAACGTACTGTCAGTTTTAACAAGGCATAATTTAGAATAACAAAACAATAAAGCATCTCTGTTTGCGCACATGCACATGACAGGCATGTGTGTAAATTATTTTCACAACAAAATAGTATAGTACAGATGCAGGACAGAAGGTGATGCAATTAAAAACACATTTAATAGTGTTTTGTGTACAATTGGGCCTGTTGCCTTCAATTGTGTTACTGTACACGCGTGCACGCGTAGGTTCTTTCTTTTGTCCTAAGAAATCATTTGAATAATTTCATAAATGCCAAACGTGTGCATCCTCCATACAGTATAACAGACTAATTCGTGTGAGAAGTAAAATAATCTTAAGTTTCACAGTAACACTGAACGTCATGCTTGTTTTAGACAGTTTTGACTATTTTATTGCAAAATGATTTGGGGGTTAATTCCACCTGTGTTTTCTTATTCTTCAGCACATCCCGATGGCTGTTTTCACCTCGTGGCTAATAGGCTGTTTCTTATTACATGCTTGGGCTGATAAACAGCAAAATCAGAAACAGTGACAGTGCTGCCACCTAGTGGACGCTAGTGGGGTAAAACGCAGGCTTTGGATGAACCGAGAGCAGCTGCTTCAACAACAGTGAATGTTGTAATCAGGGCCTTTATTGTTGTCATTAGACGATGGCTTTTCTAAATTATAACTGATACTCAGTCCACTTTCTGGTTGCAGCGTTAGGTCACGTCTTGTTTATCTTTTCTGAGATTTGATGGGCTTTTTCAACCTGTGCAGTTTCATTTTTACTTAAAAGATGTACACTTTAAGGCCAATTCCAGTATTTTTCAGTATTTTTTCAGTATTATTTTCAGAACTGTATATTTCCACAACAGTTTTTAATCATTGGCAGCACAGGGAGAAAATATTTAGTTTTACAAGTTTGCAATTTCCCACTAATTTCCTTGAACATTTCCTGGAAACATTGTGTGATCTGGAATCAGCTAATGGAAAAAAATATAGGGAAAGAAAAAAAAGATTTGGAGTTTAATTAGTTTTGTTTAATTTACATACAGTTGGTGATTTTCGGAGGAAACGTCTTGAAATAAGTGAATAACTGGGAGGGGGGACTTATTGAAATAAAGGTCAGGGGGGACCCCATATGACCTCCCATATGACCTCAGTACTTCTAAAATCCCAGCTATGGCCTTGCCTATACTGTAACTTAAGTTTCTTGTAATAAGTCATACAAGTCAGCTAATCACATATTTAATTGAAATCTATGAATAATGAGACTGAACAACGTCAGAAAGCATTATTCAAATGTTTCTGTATTTTTAATTAGTTTTTGGTCAAAACAGCTGGAGAGGAATCTGGCAATGACAGGCTTTAATTCTCCTTTCACAGCAGTTTATTTACAGCTGTATTAGTCTCATCTCAGCTGTTAATGGTTTTTATATTGAATCTGAGCCAGTATGCGAAATTTTATTGCATAAATAGACAGTGATGTTACAGAGAGAGAAAAAGAAGCATTCATATCTATGAGTTGTGTGTGTGTGTGTGTGTGTGTGTTAAAGCAGGTCTGAACCCAGCTCTCTGGAGGACCCTGTTGCCTGGACTCTGTCCTATCAGCAGGCGACCATCTGCCCTCATCCTGGCCCTCATGCTCCTTCGGGCATCTTCTGCATTATTCATATTTTTTATACACACAAACATACAGAGGCGCATTCTCTCCTCTCTGCACACGTCCCGCCTCACACATCATGCATACAGCCAAGTGTTTGACAGCCAGCCACACATACACACACACACTGTTACCTTTGACACTGTATACCATCTCTGACTCACCAGAGATAGTATACACTCTGGTGTCACTATCATTTCTGAATTGTGTCCTCTGTCTTCTGTGGACAGGATCTCCCAGGGATTTAGCACAATAGTCGTCAAATATCATTCATCGGTGCACGACTGCCCTTTTTCTCTCCCAAACCCGTGGTCTGTCTCTACAGCGGTGCTCCCACGACTCGCCCTTTCTCTTCCTCTGCCCTGCTTTTTCTTTCTGCTTCTGCGGTGCTGTAGCACAAGCACAAAGAGAAGGGCAGAGAGCTAATCCTTCAGCATTGTTGGGTGGGCTTAGTATTGTCATATGGTAGCAAGCACAGAGGGAGAGGGATTATGAGACAGATATAAGCCAGAGTACACCCACCACCAGTGCTGATACAGAGCTGTTTCTGCGAAAAGACTCACCATTTTTTTCCTGAAGTAGAAATGACTTTAACACTCACGGATGCACACAACTGAACTGAAACTGAAACGAAACAAAAGAAAATACCACACATATTTAATGAAATATGAGTAATTCATTTTCATACAGCTTTTATATCTCTAGGTATGATACATTCATAAGAACCATTTTCATTGTTACAGAGCATTCGTGTTCATATTAATTTGGATTTTTTTCTGGCACTCTTATATACAGTTTGATGAGATTCTGCAAGTGTTTCAGCACACACAACGCAAGAGACAATGCAATATGATGTCTACAATCTACAAACAGAAATATCAATGGGAAAGTGACACACACAGCAGCAGGGCTGGACCCCGACCCCTAACCTCTGACTGCTGGCTACGCTTTAATTGATGAGGTGCCCACAGACAATTATCTGGAAGGAGATTTGCAATTTCTCTTGTCTTAGATGAGTTTTACAAGAGGGAGTGGAGACACTGATCACCCGCTGATCAGCAGCATGACTTTGATATTGATATTATGATATGGATCTTAACATTTACCACATGGCCTCTCATCAAGGAAATACATCCAATTCTGTCAATGACAGGCAACATGAAAACATTCATCTTCTTCAGTGTTACATGGCAAAGGAAGTCAGAGGATCTACAGTACTGCAGTAGTGCACAGATCAGTAAATTGGTTTGACAGGAATTCTCAGCCATTCTCAACAAAACATGTAAACATAAGAAGAAAAGTGCAAAGATAAATAACAATGTTATTTTTGTTTTCCTAAATTCAAGAACACCCATCACCTTTATCAATAAAAATAATATAAGATAAAGAGGTGATTAATAACTATGGTATATAAAACCATAAGTCAAACACAGCAAGAAATGATGGTTATGATATCATTAAATCATCATTATTTAATAAAATCATCAAGCCATTGTCATTATCGACATCACAGTCCTACTTAAACATCATATTGCTGCCTGACCAATAACCATACTGTACATGTGTTTGCTAAGTGCTAGATTCCATTTAACACAGCACGCTGCTGCATATTAATGTTACATACAGTATGTCTAATTCAATAATCAATATTGATAAACATTTTTAGGACCCTTTAATTTGACTATTAAAGAATTGTGACCATGATATACTCTTAGAGGGACATTTCACAGTAAAAAAAACAAACATCTGTGCTCTCTGGTGGACATACTCAGGTTAACTCTACGTCGTCACATGTCTAGAGCCAAATATTTCACAGTGACACTCAGATTAACTTCACTATATCACTTTCTGGTGTGATTAGGGCTTTAACTAAAAGCAGTCGATATATCAGCCTCATCAACTGATGTGAAAACTCCCTTTCATTCCTAACATGAACACTATTTTAAGGTGGACCATGAAAAAGAAGCAGCAGCATCAGTATAATCACCACAGACTCACTATGGACAAACACAAAACATAAACATTGAAGTCATTTGTTTGTGTGTGTTAGGGAGGAAGGGCTCAGCTGTGAATCCTCACCATTGTGCCATCATTCACACATAAGCATGAGCATTCATACAGTACTGTACAGCCCATGCTTGTTCCGATACAGTATAAGTAGCCTTAACACACTATGTCAGCACATGACAGATGCACTTAAACCCTGCACCTTGCCATCACATACCCCAAACACCACACAGCCCAGCATATAAATAAAAAGGCATGTGTCTGTTCTCTTATTGCTTTACATAACTTTTCTATGCAATCCATCATTCAGAATCAGTGGAA